CTCCCCGCGGAGCCTGCCCGGCCCCGGCCACTGCCCCAGCACCGCCCCGCTGCCACCCACGATTCTGTTCATGATGCTCACGCTCTTAGTAGCCAGGCCGCACTCTGAGGAGTCGGTTACACACACAGAAGCATTAGTTAAAGAGAGAGCTGGTCTAGAAGGCTTCTGCCACTCAGGCTGCATCAGCCGAGGGGAGCGCAGATCACGCCCAGCTCCTGCGCTGCTGGTGTTCAGCACACTGCAGCTCAGGCCCCTGCCCCGGACACCGACATCCCAAGTCTCCCATGTCAAGAAGAGTATTTGGTAGCTGCTGCCCTCCATTCTCCAAAACCACAAACCAGTGGTTCATGACACCTTGGAGTGTGGTATTCAAGCATCTCTGGCACGCCACACAGACACATGCCTTTGTGCTGTGCAACAAAACAGACAACAACCAGAAGTCGCCTGATGACAGCCATCACTGTCAGGAGTGCACTGCCTGATGACCACATGTTCAAGAGTGGATGCACCACAAACGTCCCACCACTACTTCTGGGTGAGGGCTACAGGACTTCACCAAAGGCAAAAGGGCAGTGAAGACAAAAGCAGCTGGGTATCCAATGTCCTCTTTGTCTCTTCTCCCATCCTGCTCCTTAAACAGCCCCATTTGAAACTTGGGAACCCAAGTTAAAATATCTGCCCATCCAAAGTTGGCAACTATTTATGCAGATTCAAAAGGATTTCCGAGACAGTTTATTTCAAAGCATGAACAAGCAGAAGTTTGAGAAACACACTTACCTATGCAGCGCAGAGAAACCACATTTCCTGATCCACAGGAATCACTGCAATAGAAATTTATAAAAAAAAAATAAAATTAAAAGCCCCCAGGATTTCAACCACACAGTAAAGCAAACGGTGGGAAAAGTTCACCCTCTAGCTGCTTCCTACCCTTTCCAACTATGTGCCCTGCCTTCACCCTCACATTCTTGCTGAGGGTTCCCTCCTTTCTTCACTCTCTCCAGCCACCCTCTCAGCAACCATCTAGCTTCCACCATTCTTTGCATTCACCAGAACTCATGTGGAAGGACTGCAGTCACTAGTACAGGAGGTTTGTAAGCCTACTGAGGAACAACATGAAGAACAACATGACAAAAAGTTGAGCTGATTTATGAAGTAATTGTGTAAAAACCTAAACAAGGGAGCCATGGGAACTTTGTAGGCACAACAGTCTACAGGTTTAGAAACTAAACACTTCAGTTGATTCATGAGCATAAAACCAATACTTTCAGCAGTGAAGGATGCAATTTGCATGCTATGTGTTCATGTGACTGAAAAAGAAAAGCTGTAGTATCTGCTGTGAACGTGTTACAGATCACATCAACATACAGAAACAAGCTCAGACTCTGGTCAAAAAAAGTCTTACAAAAGTGTCTTTGGCATGGCAACCTTCTAGACAGCATGGAGGGAACAGGGTGGGACATCTCGTTTAAAAGAGGAGAGAAAGGATGGAAAAATGACAGCTTTGTTTTTAAATAGAAGGGCGAATATTTGTTGCAACCAGATTAAAAACAAAGTCTCTTTCCCACAATGCAATCCCCATTGAAAGATGTGCTCACGCTGTGCTATGGACAGAAGCTACACCTCTTACAACAGCTACAAAGACCCTTGATAAAAGGAAAGAAGTTTGTATTAAACCAATATACCTGCTATACAGCTTTTTGTACAAGTCTATATTCCCAGCACTTGTGTTCAGCTTCATGTAGCTTTTAAAGCTGACTTCGGTTGCTACTCCTCGACTATAGTAATATGAATCTCTACAAAACAGAAAGTCCATTATGAAAACCAGTAGTTTCAGTTTTCAGACAAATAAGAAATTGAGTCAAGCTAGAGCTTCTGCCATGAGCAACATTAGTTTTTAGTTATCTATTTCTAAATTAAACACAGAAACCTGGTGGTGTAGTAGAGTGCCAGACACTCTGGTCTGTACTATTTAAACGTTTGTCAAGTTCTCTTACCCGTTGAAGAGTTACCAGATTAAAATAATATTTTTATCTAACATGCATGCACAGTAGGAATCTTCAGCCTCATTAAACAGGGCAAGACAAAGAGATGCCTTTGCTGGTACGTTTATCCAGCATAAGCAAAGTTCACATCCAATCAGTCATGACAGCCACATTTCTGTGGGACAATGAGAGGTGTAGCAAGTGCTGCTCTTCTGCCAGGCTTTCTAGCTGAGGACCAGCTCTGTGTAGTTCCTGTTGGGCTGTCTTACTGGAGTTGGAAGTACTGGGGTCACTGTTGGTTCAGACACCTGAATTCAGAGTGCCACAATCAAGCACAGGCACACAAAAGTTCTACCTGTACCTGTCTGGCCAAGAAATTCACTCCATTACACCATACACAACGGAACGCAGTATTTGTATATATTAAAGAGAAGCAACACCAAGTATTTCAGCTGCCAAATAATTTAGACTGTGGCGTTACACATGGAGAATGTGGACAACACTTAGGGCCACAAACATTATGGTGATCCTCGACACAAGTTGGTGTTATAGAATCATAGAATCATTAAGGTTTGAAAAGACCTCTAAGATCATCAAGTCTAATCATCACCCAACACTACCATGACCATTAAAACATGTCCCCAAGTGCCACATCTACAAGTCTTTTGAATGCCTCCAGGGATGGTGACTCCACCACCTCCCTGGGGAGCCTGTTACAATGCCTCACTACTCTTTCAGTAGAGAAATTCCTCCTAATATCCAATTGACACCTCCCCTGGCACAACTTGAACCCATTTCCTCCCGTCGAATTGTATCCTCAGAAGACCAAGGCTTCCAATGTAACACTGATGATGACAGGCCAAGTCAGACTGGATGTTATTGAGTAATTATAACGATCGGAAGCAAGTGAATGTATAGGATACAAGTGACCCCACTGAGTAACTACTGCATGTGTGCCAGACCCTGTTACTTGTTGAAGCAACATTTTCTTTTGACTGGGTAAAAGCTACCATTGTTAAAATCAGAACCACCTAGGTTCACAAGAACTAGACTGCCGAAGGGTTTTTGTTTCAGATGTGCACTCTTAAAAAGAGCAAGAGGGAAATTTTAATCTTTCTGTGAGTGTGCAAAGGCTGACGAAGGTTAGACTTACACATTGTAGCCCATGTCTTTACATGCAGTCTTCCCATAATCATCATTCCAACCATCCTGACAAACAGAATACCAGGATTTGCTGATAGGTGAATAAACTTGCAGGATAAAGTTTGGTCCAAAAAGTCTAACTGCCAGAAAAGAAAGAAGGAAAAAAAAAAAAATCAAGAACACCACTTGCTATATTACTGCTCTTCCTATACTTAAAAGTACTTTTACTGTAATATTTGCTTGCATGTAAGTAGTGGTGTTAATGTTTCCTTCTACTCAAATTCTGAGAAAATATAAAGTAGACAGAAATATCACAATGAATTAATTCTTTTGTGTAATGCAATTCAAAAGAACTACCAATTTAAAAATGCAAATGTACAAGACAGTGTTCATCTTCTCATTTCAGCTTTTATGATTCAAATTCTCCTTCACATTCTACCACTACAAAAGATTGCAATAGCCACTTTTCTTATTTTATCTAAGCAACCATGTATTTCTTTAAATATCATATAGGGCGTATAAATAAAATATAATCTACTGTAACATATTTCATATTTTAATACACTAAATTTCTTCAGAGAAGCTTTTGTAGAGAAACAATGTAACAAGGAACAATTAGCTCCGGCCTTCCATGCCCCATTATGTATTTATTTGCACAAGAATTTAATATAAATTTTTCAAGCAAAAGAAGAGATTGAACAAGCTTCTCCAAAATCCTATTATTCAACTGTTGTGGTGAGCAGAGCCCGCCCTAGGCAGGGATCGGCGTGCGGAAGATCTCGCGATGTAACGGAAAGCTCAGACTGCCCACGAGGGGCCTTGTGGGTGTGGCTTGTGCTATATAAGCAATTGCAGCTGCGCAATAAACGCCATTTGCAGCATCCTTCACATTGAAGCCTGTGTCTGCTGATGGTACCCAACGGCAGAGGTTGGGTGGTAGAGATCCTGGGGTCCGGGTGTCGATAACGACATTCAACCAAATGGAGAGGAACAGCTTTAAAGCATATGCCAGTAAATGCTAACCCTGCATGAGGCGTGTGCAGAATGAATGTTCCCAGAGAGAGAATAAGAGCAAAGCCAAAGTCTTCCAGAGTGGCACTGGCACAACACAGTTGTGAGAAACGAGATGCCACACCTTTGGAATGGACAAATCAGTGATGTTACCACCTTCCACCTTCAGCTCTTCACTGAAGCTTCCCTTGGCATCTTCTCAGTTGGAAATACTGATCAGACCAGGCTTTCTTACACAGGGGAGTTATGAAGTAGTTGAAGCATTATTGGGAGAGGAAGGAATGCAAAATACATGGAAAAAGACTGAAGACCACCAGATTTGTCTTATCATATGAAGTTCTACTAAGAAGTCAAGAATGACTGTTCATTCCAGAGATGATGATACATTTAGTTTTGCACATGCCTTGTGCAAATTAATTAAAAGTACTACCTTTTAATTTGAAGGTTATGTTTGAAAAATGATTTGAAGGTAAACCAGCTCAAACCCCTGGAGTCAGTAATTTTCTTTCAGTTTTTCAATTAGACTGGAAACTGAGTATCAGGGGTAGCCTTCAAAACACTCAAACATCCTAAACCATTTTAGGGATATTACTTGTGCTAAAGTGGCCGCATTCTAAGTTAGGCAAGCTTTGGACAAGGCAATTTGCTCAAAAACTCTTCCAGTTGACTGAAGGTCCCCCACCTTGACTGCCAGCACTCACCACACCGGGTTTCATCCTCCCCATTGGGACAGTGACTCACTCCATCACACCACTGCGAGGGTGGAATGCACACTCCTGAAGATCCACACTCTATTAAGGAGCTCATGCAACGATTGTCTACTGCAAGGAGAGAGCAACACAGCCATTAGTCTGAACATCAGCCTAGCCTCAGATGACTACTGCTGATTCTCATCTTGAGGAGCATTCCACTTCGATAGCACTAACACCAGAAAGAGCTCTTGAATTCAAGAGCTGGGAGGAGACCTAGCCTGACACAACAGAAGATATATTGCTCTGCCCTTTACATCACCAGTCAGATTAACTCACTGATGCAGCTGATGGGATTTTGTCTACTGCCTCCCCTGAATAAGCAAGCACCATTAAGGTCGTCTTGAAGGAGTCAGCTTTACACTGACAAAACATAACACTTATAAACAGAAAGAGAGGAAGAAAGCAGTTAGTAGAGGCTCCTAAAACCATAGCAAATTGGTTTCTAGTTTCCTTTGAAAAGTGCTTTTCATTGAAAAAGAGATTAAGGTAGCAAATGACAAACTGATCAGAGTTTTTCTAGTCCAGCTTCAGATCTCAGTCAGCCCAGTTGGAGATGACTTCCAAGGCAAACACATCATCTGTGGTACAGCTTAGAAGGGTGAAACAGGTTGGGCTTACACAATGTTAACACACTTTTAAAGCTAAAGCGTCACAGAAACAAATACAACAGATGTCAATTAATTCTGCTCCAGGAGAGATCCCATTTTACCAAAGTAAAACGTCTCTTGACAGTTTACACTCTTGCAATTAAGGTATACAAATTTACTTCAACCTTCATCCTTTAATTGAAATTAAGTGAAGTTCAAATTTGGAACCAAGTTCTATTTCAGAGAGGTTGCACAGCAATGATTTCCCTAATGGCATGCACCACAGAATGCGCTGGCTACTCACAGTCATGTGCCAGCTACCCTCCAGTGAAAAAAACCTTGCAAGAGGTGAAACTACTCTTGACTAACAGCTATGGCACTGTACAGTTGCACTGCATCTGCTTTTGCCAGATAGATTGGAGCTTTCTAGATAAGCCAGCTGAATAAGCCACTACAGAAGAGTCAAAAAGTTGATGACATCATGTAACATCAAAACCATATTTACTTGATGAAAGGAAAGTGACAGCAGCATTGCTGATTGAAAAGAAAGGGGAGGAAAAAAGAAAAAAACCAAAAACACAAAACAACAAAACACAAAACACAAACTCCAAGCAAAACTAAGCCATTAGGAAGCAATATTAGTTCATCTCTCCGGAGATAGGTAGCAAAGAGTTTCCTGCCCTTAATTCAGCATAAAATGGAAGATACAAATGTATATTTCTAACTTTAAAAGTTTAGGGCATCTTTTCTTTCAGAACAACAAAAAAAATAAAACCAAAAAACAAAACTCTTACCAAAATACCAGATGAAGAAAGCCGCAATTGCACAACAAATTACTATTAAAATGGATAATATAATGATTATGATTTTCTTTACAGCTGAAATGAAAGCAAGGAGAAAAAGATATATTAGCTTCACAAATAAGGTAATTTCAAGCCATCAGCCCTGTCTATTTCCTTGACATTAAAACCAGATATTTTTTTGCCAGACAGGTTTTCTCAATTCCACCACCCTTCCTGCAAATTGCCTGGGTTTGTGTCCAGCTGGCATCCCAGGCGGCTATTTCTTCTCCATTCACACAGAAGTACAATCAGTACAGGAGTTAGAAGGGAAGATCCCTTTTATATGCTATCTTACTTTGGAATTTCTTGAGTATAAAATTGGAAGAAATCCTGACAAAACTTACTTGATGCACATGTCCTCCCAGAAGAACTTGCTACTGGCCTACTGGACTGATGGGTAACAACCCTTGGGACACAGCTTGGCACAGATGGAGCACTTGTCGAGAAGTATGGTGGATACGGGTTAGCACCTACTGGCTGCCTGGCAGAATAAATGTTTTCTGGCTGAAAGCCATGATTTTCATAGTACGGTGGTGGAGCCTAAATGATAACATTGAGGGGAAGGAAACAGGAGAAGATTAAAAACAAGAGGCAAGACTGCAATTAGGACAAAATAGGTTTCAGATGCCTTTTACATTCAGAACCCTACTAAGTAATTCAGCCAATGCAGAAACACACCATACATGCAAACACATACTAGCAACTCCAGTTTACACTGAGAAAGAGATTACAGCACACGTCTAATACCTCGTACTTTGAATAATAAAAATAACAGAGTATGAGGACGGAAGGTGTATGGAGATCCAAAGTAACTCAACCTAACAACAATTACTGAGCTCAGCCCAGCAGCTAGCTGCACAAATCATGCACCGAAACGTATGACAGGATAGAAATAGGCAGCAAGGACAGTTTTAAGCAGTACTATCACCAAAAGAAATGCTGACAGGTGACAGCAATTGTGTGTGCAGTTGTCCAGGTCTAGGATAAATGTTGACTGCTCCATTTTGTCCTATGATAACATCAGGTATACCTAGGCTGTTTCTGAAAATGCACTCATCTACAACAGCTTGTGGAATATTTATCCTGGAAGAACTTTAAGAACAAGTTAGAAGCCATTCCAATCTACCACTACAAAATAAGCTTTGCAAGCATAAATCTCTCCCAGGAGTATCTGAGCACTTGAAGTGCTACTTAATTCAAGCCTTTCACACCTGCCTAATGGTATATTTTTCCCTTTTTGCAGAAAAGAAAACAAATACTCCACATTTTAAAAGACTTGTTAACCAGGACATCACTCAATAGGTTGTCACTTGTTTACTTGTAAAAAAATAAGAGCTCGTCAAAAAAAGAAAATCAGAGAGAAACATTTTGTTTACTTACTACCGTAGAGGTCATCTTTCCTTTGTCAGCAGTACAGAAACAATTCACGTGTTTGGAAGTAAAGTGTAAACCTATATTTCAAAACAAAACAAAACAGCTATCAAAACCAGCAGCTCCATCCACCTTTTTTGTCTTTTCCTTTGCAAAAATGTCAAGGAGATGGGGGGGAGGAGAAGAGGAAAAAAAACAAACCAAACGAAACAACAAAACGGAAGTATTTCAACAGAGGGTACAAATTAAGGTGCAGCATGAAATCGGATCTCAACAGCCTCTCAATACAACATTGAGGATCATACAGTGGCAACTATTCATTAACACGAGCGCCACACAAACCAAGAAGATTAAGTTAGTGCTCACTCTCGCTGACAGAATGAAAGTTAAAGAATATCCTGGCAACAACCCACATGGTGTCAGTACCAAGTTCAGGTCCTTCTGCCTCTCTCAACACTTACTCATGTATCGCTCTGAGGTTTATGACACAGAAAAGAGAATGTGAACAAAGCATCAGAAGATACAAGTTCAACTAGCTCATTCGGTAATGCCACAGCTAGCAGCCCCAAGACACATCTTTTGCACTCTTCTGCATTGCAAACAATTGTTTTCTTGGCTGTATGTTGTAGCCATCACACCAAAAACAAGGAGAGAAGCACAGCAGGGAAACAATATGCCACACTAATACAAAAGTTTTTCAAATAGAGTAAAAGAGAGGAGCTACATGAGATGTTTCAAGCATATAGCAGTTTATTTTAAAGTTAAACATTAACATTAAGTAAAACCACGGATTAGCAAAGACAGGAGAGACACAAAATGTTTGCTGCCACAGTTCTGAAATAGGCAGTTATACACCTCCACAAGCAAACATTTTAATAAATAATTTAATCTATTGAGTCCTCTCATAATGTTACTCTACATGAAAAAAAAAGCCTAGGTCATGCAGTCACGCAGTGAGAAATACCTTTCTCCAGCTTGCAGAGCCATACCCTGCACGCAGGCGTACTGCCATGACCCCTGTTGAAAGCCATGTCTATAAAGAGCTGTTTTATTAAGACACAGCATAATTCAGCCTGAAGTATAAGGTTATGTTTTAGAAGTTGTACCAAGGTGTCATCTCCCCCAAAACTGAACTGCAAATATCTCTGAAGCAGATTTCAACAGCAGCTTGGCACCTCGAGAGTGCAAATACTTCATGATAGTTTAGGAAAGCCGATTCCGGTATTTGCTTACTGGCACTAGCAAAAAGTAAATAATAATGCACTGATGAACTTTTATTTGCATGGCAGACAGGTGAAAAAACAAGTCTTAACCTACTTACAGTAAGTCCATCAGATTGGTGACTAAGGCTTCAGGACTTCTGCTTTATGTTGCATCCATTCTTACGCAGCTTCTCACAACAGAGTCAGGAAGTGTAGCTCTGCCCAGACTTAAAGGACAAGTAACAAGTCACAGGAAGGTATTTTTATTCCTTGTTCTCTGGAAAGGAGAGGGGGAAAAGAGGATTAGGAAGTTTAGTGATAGCAGAGAGAAGAATAAATACTAGGTGGTGATTCTGAGGTAAGCCAACAGGTAGGTAGTACTAGACCCAAAAAAAAAAAAAAAAACACATTATTTTTACAAGGCCGTTTGAAAGGCTTGGCAGATGGCAGTCTTCCTCACTCTTTTTTTGGAGTTGGTTTGGGTTTTTTGTTTGTGTTTGTTTTTTTTGTTTGTGGTTTGGATTTTTTTTTTTTTAATTAACTGAGATTAAAAAAAAAAAAAAACTCTGTTAATCTTAACTGGCTTTCAACTATCTCTCCCAATTTAGTTCTTGTTAATAAGTTTTCTCTTAGCGCACTACAAAACACAGGGAAGTCATATGTGCGTACAATTTCTACGGTATTACACATATACATTTTCTGGTATTAAAAAGAGATTAAGCCAAAACTACTGGGCTCCCATTCATTTGCAAACATCTAAGGCAAAAATCAATGAATAGCATGCAATATTGAGATCATCTAGTTTTCTTAAGCATGCATCACTGACACATTTCAAAATGTTTCACAAATACATCAAGGGTACTGCAACAACTTCATAGATAAGGAAGCTGGGTCACGGAGAAACAAACTGACCTGTCAAATCCTCCCCATCCCAACAACTACAGAGCTAGAAGAGACTAGTCTGTCTTATCTCAGTCCGAGACTTTGGCCTCTAACTCACTACATGCATCAGACAGATTTAAACAGAACCCGTACAAAAGTATCATAAACCCACTCTGTTGGAGAAGAGTTTAGTGGAAATGCACAGCTATCCTTTCCTCCCACTGTCAGTCATTCCTCCTGATGTCTGATGAGTTACAATGGCACTTTACTGGGTGTATATGAAGAAACAAAACTGAAAGAGAACTTTAATATGAGCTGGTGGAGTTAAAGTGTGCAAAGGTCCTCAGGCAAGGAATGGGGCTCACTCTCACAGCAGGCTTGAAGGTATAAGAGACAGGGCCCAGGGAGTCAGAGCCTTGCTGCTTGGCTTGGTAACACCTTCTAGCTTTGGAAAAAGTATACTCAAATAATGAAAGGGACTCATCACTCATGTGCAGTCAAGCCTTTGAATTTCAAAAACTTCCTTTTACTCCAGTAGAGGTGGAGCAGAACCAACATCTGGACTTCCAGCAACACAGAAGGCCCAAAATCACGTGTGCTTTTCTTTCATAACTTCAAAAGCAAAGAAATAATGCTATTTTGCTAATGACAAGCAATAATAAGAGTAAAAAAATGTAGCTATCACTGGCATAATATAGTGATGAATACAGTGAAATTTATTGCTTCACAGATCACAGCTATTACTTGAAATACCTTCTTCTCACATATGCCTCAGGAGTGTTATAACCCAAGTTCAGTTGTGAGTCATTAAGATTTTTAAAAATGCATCAGTTTTTCCAATAAAAGTTGTGAGAATTAAAAAAAAAAAATTTGAAAATATTAGGTTAATTCAATCCAATAGCTTTTTACACTTTTTGATAGATTTCCATGCATCAGTTCTTAATATTTAAGCAAAAGTTGCAATAGAGTTGGTCTCTACTTTGATAATATAATACTTCATTGAATATAGACTTCCCAGACTATTAGTCCTCCAAAGGCTTGTCCTCCTCCCTACCACAGTGACAGCAGCTCTGTCCCCTGCACAAGAATGGGGGACAGCAGCAGTTGTGCTGCTCAGCTGTAAGTGGTCTTCACCACCACATCTTCCTATGCCCCTCACCTTGCTACTGCTGGGCAAAGGTGAGCCTCCACTTCTGCCTCCTTACAACAGTGTCAGCTCATGACCTCCATACCATGCAAGTCCTTCACTAGCTAGGAGCCAGCATCCCAAAAAGACAACAGAAAGAAGGAAAGGCAAATAAAACCTAAATATTTTCTTCCCATGCAAGAAATAATAATGGTACTTCCTTAGCACACACCATGCCATGATTGTTAATTAAGAGCAGTACCATACTTTGGAATCAGAGTTCCATAAGTACCACTAGCTAAATTAGTTTCCACGAGCTTTTATATAGAGATCACTCTATGTTGTTTCCATGCCTAAGTCACTAAAATGGAACAATTACCTTCACATCTCCTAATATAACACCGTCAATTCAACTTGGCCAATAAAACCAGATTTTCATCTGAGCATACACTGGCAACAGTATGCTTCTTGCATTTAGATGTTACTTCAACACATATTTTGTGCTATATCCCAAAATAGAAACATCAGTAGATGTTTCTATGCTTTATAACGAGTATTAACAGCTGCAAAAAACAACAACCAAAAAAATCAGAGTTCAGTTAGACCTATGCAAAAGCAACCAGTGCAAATATGGAAGAAAGCAAAGGACAGAACGATTAAAAGCCAAATGCGTGAAATCAAGTTCAACTTTTAAAACAAGGAAGCATAAAAACATCCAAACACTCTACATGAACACTTACACAATGTCACATACCAAAAAAAAAATAGCATTTCCGTTTGTCCAGACACAGAAATAAAGCACATGCAAATGAACAAACTGGCAACACTCATTAAGATAGCAAAAGAGTAATTCCAGCTAGAAAGGAAGTATGCTTTCTTTAGTCCAAATTGTTTTATGACCACCAAGAAGTTTCAGTAGCATAATCTTAAATGCAATATAACCATGATATGAAGGTGGAGAGGAAAGGGAGGAAAGGATAAAAAAAAAAAAAAAAAACAGAGACAACTCAGTGGGTGATTCCTTCCTCTGCTATCTGAACAAGAAAAAAGAAACAAGGTCAAGATTCCTGTTTAACAAGCAGCACTAAAAATTATAACGACTTGCAAAGGAAGTATAGAAGGATTTAAAAAAAAAAAAAGTAAAAATATAGTTAAGTTTGAAAAAGGAAAGGACTAAGTAAGAATTTTCATCACAATTTCATTAACAAGATTTCCTTGATACTTCTTCAGAAAATAGTACTCAATATTTTTATTGCAATGACTAAAGAAAGTGAATGCTATTTACTCCACAGCATAAAATTGAGTCATTTTATTAAAATGGCAAATTGACAAGCAGCTGAACGTTTCAAAGTCATCAAAACCAAGTTCTGCCAATGTCCTGGCCTTTCGGTTAATCCCAGTAGACAAAAAGTCTACTCATTGTGCCTATACAGAAAGACTGAACATCTTGCAGAGAAATACACAAGACCGTGTAAATATTTATAGGGCAGGTTGCAACAAACAGAGCCTCAGCATTCTTAGATCTCCTACGAAATAGCTTGGAAGCTATTCCAGATTAGTTCCTAAAATATCATTAAACTGTAGAACTAATCAATGGGTGTCATAATAAAAGTGCCTCTTGATAAGCACTACCGGCAGCTAAAATAAAATCCAAAACAGTATTCCCAAGGCCAGCAAACTATGACTAATACTACTTCCACATGCAGAAAAAGGCATTAAAAAGGTCCAAGCTCTCTGCAAACCACTTCCAAGGGGTCTATGGCAGACAATAAAGAAAAGCAAGCCTGATGGGCAAGAAGTTTGAATTCACTCCA